TATGGCTCTTCTCGAATGCGCTTGATAACCGAGTTATAATCCTCTTCTATATTATCCGCGCTTCGCTCTTAATTTGTCATTTCCAACTGAATGGATAGATATATTTTCTTCCCCGAAATTGTCATTATAATGTACGTGCGCGGTCGATCCATCCGGCACGTCGGTTCGCTCCATCTCTCGCATGGCGGCCACATGCATAACTTATATATCGCTTAATTAAATATCTCTGTTCGTCCGAGCATTGGCGGACTACTGACATTTTTCGATATTTTATACGAAGCGCATTCGTACGGGAGTAATAAAATATATGAGCTGGCTCTCGTTTGATGGATCTGGCTGTCGCGCCATGAATTTTTACGCCGTGATCAAACTTCTTAAGTCTGGAAAATATTAAAATATTAAATGAATACTATAATAATCGCAAGGATGTTGATATAAATAAGTACCTTGAATGTATTATAAAAATTGATAATTCACAATACGTTTATTAGGATATCTCTGTATTATTATTAGAATATTTTGTACTATATTTGTCAGAAAATTGACGACAGACATAAGCGAAATAAAAATGAAGGCGGAGAGAAATAAATCGTTTCTAAATAATTTTCTCGCCTTTAATAAAATACAAATAATTTTGGAGCCAAATTTAATTCCAAAATGTTCGGAATAAGATGTGGTAAAAATATACCTATTTGGCGGATTAAAGTAATCAATTTTGGAAAGATTTTTAATCATGTCTCGTTAGTTGTCAACTCTGATTCAGCATCACAAGCCTAAGTATCATTGAGCGAGCTCGCTCATATGACATCAATTTAGCAATCCTCCTTCTCCCTTCTCCGATTTACTCGCTACGTCGCGTACGACATCGCGTTATGTATCTCCGTGAACGTATATTATTTCTGGGCGCGAAGGATCATCGTCGACCGCGAGTCCGTTTTAGGACTTATTAATTATTAACAATCCGTCTTCTGTTTCTCGTGTCTTCTCGCGCCCGCTCTCGGCGCGAGATCGATAGGCCAGGACATATCGAGCACTCGCCTCCTCTCTCGACGGGTTAGGTTGTCCGACCTCCTGTAGGGGGACAGCTACATTGCAGCTCATGCATAATGTATTCCGACCTGGAGTAGATTTATATTTACCCCCGTGCTGTTGGCGATAATTCGTTAAATATCGACAGCCATCGCGCGATGCTTTTTACGTCGACACAATATTCGACATACGAGTGCGATGCGCGCGTCTCACCCTCTCGCTTCTTCCCTCCCTCGTCTTTTCTCCGTGAATCTCCGTCTTGTTGTATCGTACGATCCTTGTGCAACAGTTGTGCACGCGAGTTGCCTAAATTAAGCTTGTCGAGCGCATGCCGAGCCCACGATCGACTATGCATTATGGTTGCTGCATGTCATGATTTTTCTGAGATTTCATAATCCTTTTACATGACTCGTATCATTATTAAATACACGATAAAATACTTTCTGTGTACGAGCACAGTTTACGTTCACTGGGAAAAATGCATTTCTGAGATTTTGAAGTCAAAGTTATTTCGTCATTTAAAAAGGAATTGTATTATACAGGGTGTCGGAGCAATCTTTCGCCAAAAAAAGCACTTGTAGCTTACCTCGAGAGCTTTCCGAAACATTATGATAAAGTATTTTTTCATCGAGTACTTTTCGAATTACGAGGCTTGAAATAATTTCTTAATTTTTACATAAACCATCAAATATCTAGTAAAATATTCATTTTTCGATTATCTTATCTTAATACTTGTATGTTCAAAATAAGGAGAGGAATCAATTGAAGTAAAGAAAATACACAATTGTTTCGAAAAAAAAACATGTAATTGTTAATTGCAAATACATATTTTTTCTTTGAAACAATTTTATGTTTTCTTTACACCAATTGATTCCTCTCAATTATTTTGTATATAGAAGTAATATTAAAGTAAGATAATCGAAAAATGAATATTTTACTAGATATTTTATGTAAAAATTAAGAAATTATTTCAAGCCTCATAAAATACTCGATGAAAAAATACTTTATTATAGTGTTTTGAAAAGCTCTCGAGGTAAGCTACAAGTGCTTTTTTTGACGAGAGATTGCCCCGACACCCTGTATTGTAACGTATATCGTAATGTGTAGCCTTTTCTCTCGATTTCATATAATTTTATTCTAATGAAAAAAAGAGAAAAAAGTGCAATTTTGGCTATTCGAGCGCAATTCCAAGATATTAATGGTGTATCGTAAAATCTGGCTGCGAAAAGGTATGCGTGCGGATATTTTCAGGATTTGATATATTTGTCAGATTTCTCTCTCTCTCATACAGGCTGTTATTTCACAATCGGACGTCTACCTTCGATGGATGGACCGCGAGTGTCGGCGATTCGACTGACGTGTAACCGCGATACTCGATATCATCTTAGCGCATCGACAATTTCAGATGCATCCAATGGAAATCGGAACATTGGTTTTAAATGTCGATCCCAGCTCCTCGAAAACTGTCAACGAGCGATTTTAGGAAGCAACATCCATCCATCCCTTTTCCTCTTGTCGGCGGACTCGTGGCTAGTAATCGTTTCCTCGTAATTTCGTTTTATTTGCATTGTTTGCATTCTACCTTTTATAAGGGTGTTTTTTCGTCGAAGCTAATAATGCTGAGGGTCTTTCGTCCTTCAGATGGATTCTTTATTCTGTATACAGGATGAGTTTTATTTCGTATGTCAATCTTTTTATCATGCGGGAGGATTATTGACTGCATAATAAATTGATCGGTACATAAATGTCAATTATTTGGATCGACCGTATCGAATATAATGTGTAAAATTAAAGCAAATTAAAAGCTGAACTTATGTAGTATGGATTTATTATTATTAAAGCTACGTATTTATTATTAATATTATTATTATTGTACACATTATATTCGAACCTTCGATACAAAAAAATCGATCAAAAAAATTGATATTTATGTACCGATCAATTTATTATGCAGTCAATAATATCCCGCATGATAAAAAGATTGACACACGAAATAAAACTCACCCTGTATAATTATATCGAGAATATTTTAACAAGATATCATTTCGGGTCGCAGACTCAACGATTGATCTTTACATCTGTAGAATCTAATTAAAACGAAAAACAGGAAATCAAACTAAAAATGAGATTTCCTAATTTACTTCGCATCTCCCCATTGCCATTGGGGTGTTTTATTTATCGCTTACGGCAATTTGAATTAAAAAATTGCGAATTATCCGGCGAATATCCCGAGGTTTTTCCTCGAGCGGGCGATCCGCTATCTCAGAGGAAATGTCGTGGATGTATTTTCCGCGGTACAAAGAAGAAAATAAAAGAAAGAAAAAATGAAGCGCGACAAAGGTTTACGCGGAAATCGAACGCGCGGATAATGCCTTAAATAGAATCGTACACCTGCAAGCGCGCACGCGGTGTATGAGTTTAGTTTGCCGCCACCGCCGCGGTCGGTCAGTCTATAGCACAATTGTTATTTTCGACTCGGGCGTATACACTTTGTAACGACGCGGCGACTCCGTATAAAACGTAGGTCGATTCTTGAACCGTGCCGCCGTTTTATTTCTGGCCAGCGAAATATTAATAAGGTGTAAAGATGCCATCTTTGCGTAAACACGTCGGCCTATCGCCGGCCGAATCGCGCATCGACTGACGCCAATGCACGCGTTCAAGCGCATTCGTCATTGCCTTCTCTATCGGTCTCTCTCTCTCTCTCTCTCCCTCTCTGCCGCACGCGCGACGTGTATACGCAACACATGCACGGGAGGCAATTTCTTTTTTTCTCTCCTCCTCTTTGTCGTTACGATAACGACGAAACGAAGATTCTCGTAATCTCCGTCGTTAATTCCTCGTTTCGTAATCGCCTCTTTTTCGTGATACACGAAGTAATCTTCTATCCGCGATCAGATTCTTTCAGCTCTTTACAATCGCACGTTCTGCCGAGGAAGATATTACGTAGTTTTTAATTTAATCATCGTTTAACATGTACGTTGCGAGTTGCAAATTACATTCAGAGATGATTGCCTGGAATCGCGGATTGTTTACTGCGTACCGACTCGAGTCCTGTGCATTCGATTTCTCCTCATTTATCGCTGTAAATAACGCTCGTGGTTTTTATCGTCTCTAGGAAGCCTTCAAAGGATCGGTAAAAAATCTCGATTTTATCCGTTCAAACAAAAAGTTAAAAATACAGATTATTGTATTTTAGTTATATAACACTAAATTATACATAATTTACATATATTAGTTTATATTGCATAAACATGTATAACTAAATCGCAATTTTATACACAAAATGACTGATATGGATCACAAGAAAATATTGAACAATTTATTTACACATTTATCGCATATATAATTTTAATTATTATATAATAATTATATAATTTCTTAATTATTGGTAACGAAAACTTGCAAAGACTTTCTCTGATTCTAATATTTATTTTTTAAAAAACAAGCTTATCAGCTAATTCTTACATTTAGCATTTATTACGACAAAAATCTGCGTGTGATAAAGCCTTGAGGAAACTAGGTATTAACATTAAATCACAATATAAATATTTTCCTCATGATTCTATATTTCTTCTATTTGTTACATATGAGTGCGGATAAACTCTCAAGCGTAATATCTATAAGGAAATTAAAGAAACTAACAAAATCACATGGCAGTCAAGTCAAAGGTATGATTGATGAGTCGACGAAAAGGTAAAAAAAGAGTGCGTGCAACTCGCAGCTAGCAAATTCCTGGAGCGATTCCTCTCGCACGAGAAGAAACTCGCGGCAGCGGTAGCAACAGCATCCCGTTTGCCGACGCGAGGCGAGAAGCGGGAGTACGCGTCGCGCACGCGTCACGCGCACCGATCAGCTGCGAGGACACGCGACGATGCGCCGCGGGGGACGCGCGGCGGGAGGGGAGGGGAGCGCGGCTGATCCGCGCGAGCGCGAGGAAGATACGTCTCCGAGTCTAGAGACGAAGTAGCGGCGGACGGCGCGAGGTGGCGCGCGCGCGCGACGAGTGACGCGATTGGACGGCCGGCGGCTGACGTTCGCGGCGTTATCGACCAATGAGCGGGCGCGCCGCCGCGACGTATCTCGTCTAGCGAGGCGAGTTTCAGAGGTGAGGTGGACCGACTGGTACACGATCGCCAGCCGCGGCGACTCGGTTCCCCCTCTCGCTCGTCGCCGCCGTTCCTCGCCTCGCTCCGTCTCTATCCCTCTTCCTCCTCTCCGCCCCCGCGCCCCGCGCGCCACCTCCGTCCGTCTCGCTCGCACGCACGTACGCACACGCTCCTCTCGCTTGGTTCTCGGCCCGACTTCCTCAAATCTTTATTTCAGGCTCGACCGCGAACTCGGGGCGAACTGGTCGAAGCGCGCGCGACCGCCCCGGTTTTTTAACCGTCCTCACGGCAAGCTCACCGCAAGCGGCTACCGCCGCCGCCGCCGCCGCCGTCGTCGTCGTCGTCGTCGTCGTCGTCGTCGTCGTCGTCGTGCATCATCGTGTATACGCGCGACGTGTATGCGCCAGGGCAGCACCCGCCGTCGCGGAGAGACGACGCGTGTCTAAATTTGAATACGCTCTGGCAGCGAAGAGGAGAAGCAGTGCCGTCCGCGCGTGTTACGCCGTCGGAGCTTCCGTCTTCGCCTCTCTGGTTCGCCGTCGTCGTCGTCGTCGTTGTTGTTGTTGCCACGCGTGAAAAGTATATTTTGAGAAAGTCGCTGTGCATCTAGTCAACTTATCTAGTCCCCGCGACACGCGCACGTCGCGGATAAAAGCTAACCTATCTCTAACCGCGCACCCCACGAACGGAGCGAGTGCGATCCCGCGCACGCCGACCTAAGAATAATTCCCGACACGCCGCGACGACGTTCGTCTCTATAAATAATCGCGCGCCCTTTTCGCGAATGTGATCGACGACGAAGGTGAAGGAAGAGGAGGAAAGCGAGCCGAGAAAAGGGAGACGAGGGACCTAGATTTTCCAAGGAGGTTGACGCTAGATCCTCTTCGTTTCTCGCCGAGTGGAGAATTGACTGGCGAGCAGGGTCGCCGACGGATCGCGAGGAAGCAGCAACGTCGCGTACGACGCATACACGCATACCCGCGCCAAGAGGAGGGGAAGAGGGTCCGACTCCGGGAGAGTGTGCCAAAGAGAAAAAACGCCGATACAGAGAGACACGCAACACGGGACGACGGGAGAGAAAGAGCCGTGAGTGTCTGGTTCGTTGATACGTTCGTCCGTTGGTCGGTTCGCAGCGCGATAGCAGCAGCGACGGCGCGAATTAGTGTGCGAGAGTCCGCATCTGGCGAAGAGCTGGAGGAGGAGAGGAAAGAGCAGCAGCGGCGAGTTTTGTTTTGATCGGCAAACGATCGCGGCGTCTCGCGATCTCGCCTCTTTCTCTCTCTCTCTCTCTCTCTTTCTCTTTCTCTCTCTTCCTCCTCGTGCAAGAGCGGGGGTGCTGTATCGCGGTGTGGGGAGATATCGATCGCGCGCGCGGGACCATTGACGTCGTTCTGGAGAACGGCCGAACATTGTAATAGAGAAAGAGAAGGAGGGAGAGAGAGAGAGGAAGAAGAGAAAGAGAAAGGAAACGAGAGGGACGCGACACGCGTCTACCACCGCACGACGACGACAACGACGGTATCTTCCATCGTTCGCCGTCCGCGCGTAAATCCGAGTGCCGCCGACGCCGACGTTGTCCTTCACCGACGCCGTCGCCGTCGTTGACGATCGCGATCGCGATCCCGAGGATCGTCCGCTCGCTCGGCCTCGCTCCCGTTGACGCTCGCGGGGTGAGATCGATCGATACGCGGCTCAGCGAGGGACTCGGGCCGGCAGATCGACCCGACTATCCCGTCGTCGACATGCCCCGCTGATGATCCAGTAGTAGGCTGCCCGATCCGGTGAGTTTATCAAACGCAGTAGCGCCGAGGAGAAAAGAAATATGTAAGAGGGAAGCTGGAGAGAGAGAGAGGGAGAGACGCGCGGGTAGGGAGAGACGCTCTTTCGGTCACGGTGAATCTCCGTCGAGACTTGGTCTCCTCTTCCTCCTCCTCCTCCTCCCTATTATCGGCGTTCGTTAGGTATGCGGAGTCTTCTTGGACGCCGTCCAGGTCCCGATGTTCTTGTCGGAGATCTCTACGATCCTCGCGGAGACTCGGACCAGCCAAGAAAATTCGCGAGGATATCTGGTTGGAGACAACCGGATCGGCAATCTTTCATTCTTGGCGCGCACAGCGAAACTTTTCACTTTGCGTCTATGAAACTTATATGAGGCGTATTGATCTCGAAAACGAAATATTCAAATATTTATGACGCGCTCTTCCTGCAGCCTCCTGAATCGAACTCGTCTCGTTACGAGATTTGGATCGCTATTAAAATTGGAGATACTTAACACCATCTCGTCATGGTACCAATGGTAATTTGTCACGACGCCGAATAGTAATCGCGAATAATGCAATTATATCGCGCTCTTAATTCAATCTCTTCGATGCATGCTCCGATATTCTGCTCCTAATTCGATATCTGCAATTGTCTTATTCAAAACGTCGTAATTTCATAACTGTATTTTGAATTAGGTCTAACGCGACATTTTCTGACCAAAATCACCCCTGAAGGAAAGTATAATTTCCGGTGATGAAGATATAATCCTTTCCAAGAATATCATATTTAAAAATGTTACTTTTTTTGATAGTATGAAATATAAGAGTGATTTGGAACATGAAAAATTTTTATAGACGAAACAAAATTATTTTCTATAACTTTATTTTTTCAATACGGTTAATCATTTTCAAGCTGAAATTGATACCGCGCTGATAAGACTCTGAGAAACGTATGTTCGGTAATTACATTGTTTACATATGCACACACATTTGTCGTACGGTAGTAATTTCTTTATCTAATTTATAGCCAGAGTGTTAACGGTAGGAGGAATTACATAAAATTTACATATTACATAATTTATAACCGGGATGAGAAGCTTGATAGATGGAATACGAAATATAAGTCTGGAATTTCTGAGAATCTGTAGAAATAGTGAGTCTGACATATTTAGATCTCCGCATTCTTGTTTTAAAAAATCTACATTTTATCGCAAAAACGTGATCTTCGTCAACATTGTGGTCACAATTTCTTCGGTTATAACTTCTCTCCAAAATTCGAAACGGTGATTGTTTTCGTCTATATAACAGTGATTAACGAACCTTGCTGAAATTTTTTAGTCTCTTATCAAATTTCCGCTAATAAAAGAAATAATTAAATATTAATTACATTAATTTGCCGTTTTATCGCTATCGAAAACTTTTAAACAAATACAATTTTATTAAAATACATGAGGATACAATTATTACATAACATCACGACGACAAACAAATTTACAAGAGTAAATTTTAATAATTATTTCTCCGATTATCAAAAGAAATCGTAAACGTAAATTGCTGTCACGAAGCATTTAAATCTTAATTATAAACTAAAATACAATTCAAGAGGCACCTTACACATGTGAAAGCGAAAAAAATTAATTACATAATGGCGTGTTATTTAAGATTGTCATCTGGGGATTGTTAGGTCACTAATTCTTTTTTTTCTCCTGTCGTTAATATCGACTTTGTTAGGTTGACCGAGAAAATAATGGGGACCCGGCTCGGTTCTCTCGCTCCGATTAAAGACGCCCTCCCTTGGTAGAACACACGAGAGAAAAGAGCACGCCTGGTATCCTCGCACCGTGTTAATCCGCGGATCACGCCTCTGTGATAAATTATATCTCTTACCCGCGACGAGACTTAATCAGACCCTTAAAACAATAGAAGACGCTTTATATAAGCTGTATATTGTTTTATTCGGAATAGAAATGTTAAAAAGGAGAAATTTTGTTTGTAACTCTGCTCCAAAGTGTGCGAATGAATTCTTATTCAATTTAATCCGAATAATCAATCGATAATCTTGCGTAGTATAAATAAATCATAATTTTGAAAATATAACTTGTTCGAAGTCCGTTCGCGTGGAAAAAGTGCATAGTATTTATACTCTTAATATGCGTCCCTAAAATTTATTTCCGATGTGTCTTGCCGTATAAAATATCTGCAGTTTTAAAAATGTTCAACTTTTATTACGGAACATTAGTTTCATCCGAGAGATAAACCATAAATCGTTGATCGTTTTGATCGGTTCGCTATCTAGCGCGCGAGCATCGGTGCGGAATCTGCGCAAGTTTGCACGCATAAACGATCCGACAAAGCGACATCCTAACGAGCCGGCATAGTTGATAGTCGAGCGAAGATTCCGTCGAGTTGCGCGGGCGCGCGCGCGCACACACACAATATAAATATGCACACCAACGAAGCTACAAGGATAAAATATGAAGAATAAAGAATAGATATGAAATTTTATTACGTTATGATTTCAATCAGGGAGGCGAAAAGAGATGCAATAAACGACTGATTAGAATTCTTATGTTTGGAGTTTCTTATTATCCAAGCATTAGATAACAATTTTTACCAATATATGTATACACGATGCGTTATTAAAATTATCTGCGATAAATGACTCCCTCTCTATGACATATATGCACATGTTATTTCAGAGTTTCTTTGACATTGACATTTTTGACAAATAAATCATTGATGAAAAGAACATTTCTAATCTCGAACGGTAAATAGACGTGTATCGATTACGTAATGCTTTCTTTGCAAATCATTCCTGTGCCAATGCGTGCCTTTCATGAGGATCCTCTCGTGTTTGCGTCTCGACCTCAGCATCTCGCACGATAATTCCTTTAAATTCGATATCGGCGACTCGGTCACGGAGACAATCGCTCGGATACGATAAGGAGGCGGGTGTTATCTCGGCGAGTTCTCAGAGAGCATATATTGGTATACAAATATCCGTCTTCGTCGAATGCCAAGGCTCTCTCCTTCGAGTCGCGTCTTTCGTCATCGGCCGATTATTAATCGCGATTATATGATGGAGATGAGTTGCACGTGCGATTTACGAATGGAACATACGATGATTAAGAATGAGCTGTTCGCTCGATCGGAACCTGCTTTACGTGCCTCTGATAAGAACTTTATTATTTTGCCTCTCTTTTTTACTTCTACAGTGAAGGTCAGCCACATCGTACGGAGAATTTAACACGATATTGTATTAAGTTACACGAGAGAAGAAATGTGCACGTACGTTTCGTCGCAGGTATTAAGTGCATTCGGTTTGCAAGTTTACGATTATTCCATTTTTTTCTCGCGCGTTATCAGCATTATAAAATGCTGAATATATTCAGCTGATCATTATAAAGTAGTAAAAATGATTTGTACGCAACATTCGCGCATTTGCAATCTATCGATTGTAAACTTTGACAAGTTCGAAAGGCGAACAATTAGCTCGGGCAATTTAGCCTACTATTAGAATAGAAATGTGATTGGTCTGTGTACTTAAGTAATATCTCCTTGCAATTTAAAATATATATATATAATTTCTACTAATGAATTTTGCGCGTCGAAATTACCATCGACGGTTTATCTTTCTGTCTTCCTCGACCTTGCGCATCGACATTATCCAGCAATTTATTCCCGGCGTATTACCTTATTCTATATCGTCGTAATATTATGCTTACTTATATTCCTCATTCCTGATACCGTGTATTCCTGTATTTCGTATCTCGTAGTCTCTCAAGATGGTATAGTCCGGCCAGCTGGTCGCTGACCCTCACTCGCGATGTACACGTTCGTGTATAATAAACCGAATTCGATCGCGAGAGACACGTCGAGCGAACTTTTTCCCAGATCTCTCTCCACTGTGTATATCATTGGTAAAGATAGCGAGCGCCTAGAGTATATAGCATGCGCTATGTCGCTTTTCATTCACTACTTGCGCGCGCGCGCACGTAATAATTTATTTCCACCCTCGCTTAAGAAAAAGCAAAACACGCGCACACATACGTACTCGCGTCGATCGATCACGCACGGAACGTCGAGATGACAGCGTGCGATATTAGGGGATTATTTAACCTTCCGAAACGCGCGGGATTCATGCCGATTCGTGTGTTTCATGAGTTTGCATTGGTAGTCTTTGTATCTGTACATCTGTGTGTAAATGAATAATTCGATTGTCGAAATTTTTTTTGGAAAATGAGAGAAAACTGAGGTTCTTTTTTCATAAGCCTCGAGGATCTCGTGAAAATTTGTATCTTAAAAACCGTAATTTTATACGCAACTTAATAATCAATAATAAATGTATAATAATGCTTTATTAATTTTAAAAGAGATATATTCTCGTGAATATTTGCTCAATTAAAGGAATGTTCGATATCTTATATGCAAGAGAAAATTTTTTATTTATGTGAAAACGAGTTAGTTTACGTAAAGCATAATAAAAAATTTTAATATATCAATTAATATTAATTACATGAGAATTAATATTAATCACATGAGAATTCAATGGAAAAAGGAATCACAATTACGTCGTAAATTGATTGAGGGAAGGACAAGAAGAGCAAACAACTCAATAAGCATTTCTCATTTTTCAAAATTTGTAGAAAAATTGGAACAATCATATCTCGAATATATATATCGCTCGGAGATTATTTTATTTTTTATTAAAGTATTATTAAAATATAAATATTAAATGTTAACTTTTTAATACATACGAGTATGAGTTTTACCTGCACCGATGAAATGAGAATCGGCTAATTTTTCGCGGACATTTCGAAACGTAAACACCGGCGATTCGCGACCGATAATTCTCTCTATCCGCTATATAACGTCTGGCAATCGGGCGTAGACGTAAAAACGCTGGCTTTAACTCACCGTTCTAATTCTAACTCCTCCCCCACTTTTCACGAGACTATATTTACTGAAACTTTTCCCATTCATTGCGAACACGCGATGTCGTTACGTGAATTAACGCGGCA